AGCCCGACATGATACATGGGAACATGGGACGCACGAAAGAACAGCCCGAGATGTGCACATTGAGTCCAGGAGGGGGCCTCTTATTCATGCCGTCCACAGTAATCATTGTTTTCAAAGGGGATTCTAGCCACAACGTTTGGTAGCTAGAGAAGCGGACCTTTGGCACACTTGAACAGCTCTTGGAGTCGACATTTAAAAGATGCTGGCTAGAGAACACGGCACAAGCACTTGCCGCTGGGGGCCCTACAATGTTTGAATATGTTCGATTCCGCCTACGCGTCTCACCCCAAGTTGTGAGTGCACAAACAAAACACTGCATGAATGACGGAGTTTGAATTCGCTTATCAAGTGCTAAGTTCCGCTCTGCGGGGCGACGTCCACCATGGTGCGTGCCCAATCCACCCCGCAGGGCGGAGGAGCAGAAGGGAGAAGAGGGGAGGGAGGGAGGGAGGGAGGGAGGAAGGACGGAGGAGGTGGAGGAGGAGGAGGAGGGGGACCTGAGGAAACTCCACTGAGTGCCTAGCGGCGTTGTGGCTTAACCATTCAAGGACGTACTCAGATGTGTATGCTGCAGAGATGCGCGCAGACCATTGCCAATGAATCCACATGGACCGGCAGTGGCCATGCACTCACCGGGACACGCGGACACGTGCACGTTGGCATGCCCATGCACACATGCAGGCACGTGTACGGAGTGCTCACGCGCCCCAGCAGGCGCGGACCGCCGCCGGGGCCGCTCCAGGCACAAGGCCAGGGCGCTGCTGGAGGTGGGCGGCGCTGCACTGGCGGGCTCGCTGAACGACCCCGATGCGGACAAGAAGCGCCAGCGGCTGAAGCACCTGAACCGCATCCGGAAGGTAGATGACCTGGATCGCTTCTCGCAGCACACGGCGCTCCTGTCGGCCGCCGAGGAGGTGCGGCAGGACCAGAAGAAGGCGGAGGTGGCGCGGCGGATGGACCGCTTCAACACGAACCAGGTCACCATCCCGGCACAGTTCGCAACCCCGAGCTACTTCCACATCGAATTCATGAATCCATATCACCAGCAAGTGACCTTCACCGTCGTTATCGCCGAGCGCGGCGCGACCCCGCAGGCCTCGGGGATGCCCGGTTGGGGGGGAGGCAGTGTGGTTCCATTGCCATGGCGTTGGAGTGCAGCACGCTCGCGAGCAGCCGCAGAATCTCTGGAACTCCTCCTCCCCTTCTCATCATACTCCCCCCGCCCCACCTGGCAGCGATCATGCGCGAGTGCACCCGTGGCAATCATCGACGTGATCAAGCCTTCAACCCGCATAGTAAGGATGAGCAACTTATCAAGGTTACCCTCGCATCCTTCCCCTTCGGCCCATCCTTTGTCGCTTTCGCTGGCCGCGCCCCGCTCGCAACGTGTCGACATGGCACCCCAAGGCCCTTGCATACTTACCGCGCGTCCTTATCATGCGGGTTGACCGTACTCCTCCTGCTCCTCGCCCTCATTTGGCAATGAGGAGTGTTTCAGGGGCGCCCTCGAGGGCGCGAAGTTCTCCTCGCTTCGCGGTTCGGCTCCGATTCCTCCTCACCCTCCTCTTCTCCCCTGGGAGGCGGCGCGAGGTCGAGAGGTTACATTCGCGTCTTGCGCGAAGCGCGAAGCTCGAAAACCTCATCTGGCAAAGCGTCTTTGTGGGGGCGCCTCGGGCTCTCGGCAAGGGGCACGCCTGGCCGTCGTCCCGGCCTGGCCCGCGCATGCTGCAGGCGCTGTGGCGGCGCGCGGGGCGCCCACCATGTGTCGGGGGCGGCAGAGAGGGGGGGGGGATGACCAGGGGGGGTGTGGCTATCATGGCGGGGGCCAGGATGTCTCCCCAGATTTCATGGCGCCTTTCCTTACTTCATGACGTCCCCGGCCCCCCCCCCCCTGGGCCGCGCACATGCCGCCGTCCATGATTTGCGCCCCCACCCCCCTCTTGGACACCCCCCCTCTTGGCCGCCCCCAAATTTGGGGGTAGGATATGGGCATTCGTCCCCGGAGCTTGGGACTGCAGGCCAGTCGGAGGTGCACCTCGTGACCCTCATTCCGTCGCCCATCGTGTTCCTCGCTGCCCGTCCCGCGTTTCCCCCAGTGCCCCTCGCTCCTCGCCCTCGCGGCGCGTCGCCGCAGGCCGCACGTCCGTATGTCCTTATGCCGGAGGCGCACCTGCGCAGCGGAGCAGATTGCTGAAGTGGGGACGGGGTGGGTTGTCTACGGTGGGATCACGCGGCGATGGCGCGCCAGCGACGCCAGCGAAGGCGTTCAAGGTTGAACTCCGCACGATGGAGCGACGCGGAAGCACTGAGGGGCACGGAAACAACACAGGGCAAGACGGAATTCAACTCTGAACGATCGGGGCGGCGATCGGTTCAAGATTGAAAGATCGACGCGGTGTCAAAAATTTCTGCGCGCGCCGACGCCGGAAGAACCGATCGTAGTCCCTCCCAGACGGGCGGTAATATGCTCTGCATTGGAAGAGTACCTCCCGAAACAGGATCCAAGAAATGCAGCCATATGTTGTCGGAGCACCTGCAGACGCAAGTGCAATCGCCATTGCTGGAGGCCAGTATCGTCCCTCGTGCTTCCGGGAGGGAGCGCAAGCGGAGTCCGAGAAAGAGGGTGGAGGGAGATGCAGCAACAGGGAGATGGTCCGCAGGGGTCCCTGGAGGCCCTCCAGGGACCTCCAGAGGCCACTTCAAGCTCAAAAGAGAAAGGCCGAGGACGCCTGGGAAGCTCGATCCTCGAACGCCGAGCTTGCGCAGAAAGACTCCAAGGGTGCAGGGGAGGGGCTCCGCCGAGCACGAGGACATCCTGACGCAGTCTGGCGCACAAGAGTCCGCCTCAATGATCTGCCCGCCTGCCCGCCCGTCTGTTCTGATGGGCCTGTTTTCCACCACCGCCACCATAAGTTGGAGAGGGGAAGGAGGAGGAGGAAGAGGAGGAGGAGGACGCAGAGGAGGAGGAGGAGGAGGAGGAGGAGGAGGAGGAGGAACCCCTCCCCCTCCAACTTATGGTGGTGGTGGTGGTGGAAAACAGGCCCATCATGTTCGCCTGCCTAGGGGGGCCTGACCTCGGCGTGGAGGGTGGCCCAGCGAGGTCCAGGGTCCAGGATGGGGGCCGGCCTCGAGCTCCGCGATGACCACCCCGCACCGCCCAGAAGGGGGTCAGAGCACGTGGGGCTGGAGCATCGCGCCGCAGCCCTGCTGCGTCGGCGAGAGGCGGCGGGGTCCCCCGGCCCCGCCAACCTGGGCTCGCGTGGACGGACGGCCTTTGGGTGCCCCCTCCCGCTGGCTCTCCCCTCGCAACCCTGCACTCGGGTCAGAGGCTGCCACGGGGCGTCCTGGCCCAAGGCGCCGTCAGCTTCTCGTGTTGTGGAGGACGATCAATGGAGAGGAAGCATGTTGCCAAATAATTTCTAGATGTCTATAAAATGTGTTAAAACTGTTTTTTAATGTGGAAAAATGCTTTAAACATTTTCAGGACATTTTTCCTACGTTTCCAACACATGTTTAACTCGATGATAGGACTGTTTGGGTGCCCATTGTCGTGGCATCCACAAGTATCGTGTTATTATACTACCCTCGTCAAAATTAACTTCAAAATGGCGACCACGCCCCTGCGATGTCGGCGCGCCCTTCAATGTCGATAGACGCCCCTCCGGTGTCGGGGCTAGGGCAGAAGTGGTCTGACCGGGAACGACTCGGAAGTTCGATGATGACCGACAGTGGATGGGCGGCGCATATGGGTACCTCGCAGTCACCGCTACTCTGTCCAGCATCTCCCCACAAACAGTTCAGCCACGCAAGACATTTTTGAGGTCAATTTTGACGAGGGCTGCAAGACCCCCACGGGCCCTCTGAGCCCCCCCCCCGGTGGCGGGGGCGCTCCGGAGGGCAATCTGCGCCTCCCTCCTGCAGAAGCTCGGGCGGCCTCGGGCAAGGGGGCAGCCTCTGGCAACGCCCGAGCGGCGGCGACGGCGGCATTGGCCACGCTCCGATCCTGGCCTCAGGTCGGGCCTGTCCCTCTCCAAGGGGGAAGGTTCAAAAACAGCAATGATAGAACCGAAAAAATGGGGAATAAAAATATTTATCATTGTTGAACAAACATGTTTTGACTACTCTTTGTTTTTCCTCCAAAATCCGCCTGTAGGGGGACATGCCCGACCTAATCCTTGCCGAGCCCATCCTGGGCCATGGATCGGTGCATACGCTGTCCTCCAAGGGAGGAAGAAACACCCCGGCCCCCACAACTGGCGTTTCCGAAGCAGCCCTGAGCGCTTACGAGAACCAGTCCTGGCCTACCCTGTTCGATTCCTTTCCCAGGTGCGTTTACCAAAAGCTTCGCTTGTCCTGGTGCTTGTTGCGAGGGTGGATATTATGCCCTCTAGTCCTGGCGTGTCCAGGGAGGCACGTCAGAGTGAGGGGGGCGATCGGTCATTCACTGTCCCTGGGCGCGTGGCCGAAGTGGAGTTCCGCGGTGCGGATTGTTGTTGCGTTGTTGCGTTGCTGCGTTGTCGTTGTTGTTGCCATCTTCGCCCGCGACACGCCCGCGGCCCAACCCGCGACCCACCCCCTCGCTCGTGTCCGCAGCTGCGGTGTGCTGCGTGCACCGACCCTGGAGTTAAGCCGGGCGTGCCCCTCTACAGGAGGAATTTTCAAAAATAGTCAAAAAAATATTCTGGGGACGTTTTTTTATTTATAGAATTTCTGGTTATTCTTGAAAATTTGTGGGGTACTTTTTCGTTTTTCGTCCAAAATCCCCCTGCAGGGGGACAGGCCCGACCTAACCCTCGTCCGCAGCTGCGGGGTGCTGCGTGCACCGACCCCGGGGCCAGGCTGGGCCCCGGCCGGGATCCGCGCGCGTGCTGCCGCAGGTCGTGGACGCCGCCGGCGCACCTCCCGCGCCGCTGCACGGCGTGCTGACGCCCTCGCCCGGGCTGGCCCTGCAGCTCGTGCGGGACCGGTCGGAGTGGCTGCGCCTCTCGCAGCTGCAGAAGGCGCGGGCCCCGGTCTCCGCTGAGCCCCACACCATCATCATCGTCGTCATCATCATCATCATCATCATCATCATCATCATCATCATCATCATCATCGTCATCATCACTGTCGTCGTCGTCATCAGCATCATCATCAGCATCATCAGAATTAGCATCAGCAGCAGCATCAGCATCAGCTTCACCATCGGCAGCAGCACCGTCATCAGCATCAGCATCAGCAAAATTCGCATCAGCATCATCATCGGCATCGTCATCATCGTCATGATCATCTTCATCACCACCATCAACATCATCATCACCACCATCATCAGAATCGCCATCTGCAGCAGCATCATCATCATCGTCATCAGCATCCTCATCAACATTATCACCATCATCATCATCAGCATCAGCATCCTCACTAGCATCATCCTCATCATCTTCATCGTCATCATCATCATTATCATCACCATCATCACCATCACTAGCAGGATCATCACCATCATCAGGCCCAGCAGCATCGCCATCATCATCGTCATCATCATCATTATCAGTAGCAGCATTACCAGCATCACCAGCACGATCGTCATCACCATCACTAGCAGGATCATCACCAGCATCACCAGCACGATCGTCATCACAATCATCAACAGAATCAGCATCATCAGCATCAGCAGCAGCATCAACATCGACATCAGCATCATCGTCTTCATCATCAGCAGCAGCATCAGCGTCATCATCATCACCATCATCATCAGCATCATCATCACTATCATCATCACCACCATCACCACCACCATCATCATGCAGCACCATCGGCAGCATGATCAACACCATCAGCATCAGCATCAGCATCATCTGCATCATCATCGTCATCATCGTCATCGTCATCATCTTCATTATCAGTAGCCGCAGGATCAGCATCAGCAACACCATCATCATCGTCAGCATCAGAATCAGCATCATCATCAGCATCAGCATCATCTTCGGCCCCAACAGCATCGTCAGCATTATCAGCAACAGCATCAGCATCATCATCTGTGTCATCATCATCATCACCAGCAGCACCATCACCATCATCATGATGACCATCATCAGCAGCATCACCACTATCATCAGCACAATCGGCAGCGTGATCAGCAACATCATCATCATCAGCATCATCATCATCAGCATCATCGTAATCATCGTCATCATCATCATTACCAGTAGCAGCAGGATCATCATCAGCCTCACCATCCCCATCATCACTATCATCATCGGCATCAGAATCAACATCATCAGCATCAGCATCGGCATCACAACTATCGTCATTATCATGAGCAGCAGCATCAGCATCAGCATCCGAATCAGCACCATCGTCATCATCATCATCATCATCACCATCATCATCATCATCATCATCATCGTCACCAGTTTCAGCAGCATCATCACCATCATCAACAGCATCATCAGCATAATCAGCATAATCATCACCACCATTATCATCATCATCATTACCAGTAGCAGCAGGATCATCATTAGCCTCACCACTCACATCATCATCACTATCATCATCAGCATCATAATCAGCATTATCAGCATCAACATCGGCATCCTCATCATCGTCATCATCATCATCACCAGCAGCATCAGCATCATCATCATCACCATCACCATCGTTATCATCATCATCACCATCATCGCTACCATCATTATCATCATCATCACCATCATCAGCAGCATCATCGCAATCATCGGCACAATCGGCAGCATCATCAGCATCACCATCACGATCGTCATCATCAACCGTATCATCATCTTCACCATCATCATCAGCATCATCATCTTCAGAATCGTCAGCATCATCATCATCATCATGATCATCATCATCGTCACCATAATCAGTAGCCGCAGGATCATCATCATCATCATCATCATCACCATCATCATCAGCATGACCATCATCATCCTCACCACTCTCGGCATCAGAATCAGCATCATCAGCATTAGCGTCGGCATCAAGACTATCGTCAGCATCAGCATCAGCATCATCAGCGTCATCCTTCTCAGCATCGTCATCATCATCATCATCAGCATGATCAGCATCGCCATCATGACCATTACCATGATCAATAGCAGCAAGACCATCATCTGCATCATCATCATAATCAGCATCATCCTCCTCAGCATCATCACCATCATCGGCATCATGATCATCACCATCATCATCATCATCGCAGTCACCACCAGCATCAACATCATCATCATCAGCATCATGATCGTCACCATCATCATCGTCATCATCAGCATCACCATCAGCATCACCATGAGCATCGCCATCAGCATCAGCATCATCAGCATCACCATCACTAGCACCATTGGCAGAAGCATCATCGTCACCATCATCAGCAGCAGCATCACCGTCATCACCGACATCATCATCATCCCCATTACCATCACCGTCAGCACCATCGTCAGAAGCATCATCACCATCATCAGCATCATCAGGTGCATCATCAGCATCATCAGCATCAGCTTCAACATCATCATCAGAATCACCATCATCATTATCAGCAGCATCGTCAGCATCATCATCAACATTGTCATCATCGTTATCTTGATCAGTAGCAGCATGATCATCTTTAGCATCAGCATCACCATCATCATCACCATGGTCAGCATCAGAATCAGCATCATCAGCATCATCAGCATTAGCATCAGCATCATCATCGCCATCATATTCAGCAGCAGCATCATCAGCATCATCATACCAATCACCTTCAGCATCAACATCATCATCATCAACGTCATCGTCGCCATAATCATCATCATCATCATCATCATCATCATCATCATCATCATCATCATCCTCATTGTCAGTAGCAGCAGGATCGTCCTCAGCATCAGCATCATCATCATCACCAACATCATCACTATCAGCATCAGCATCAGCATTATCATCAGCATAAACGTCATCAGCACCGTCAGCATCACAATCAGCATCACCATCATCATCACCAGTATCATAATCAGCATCATAACCAGCATCATCCTCATCAGCATCAGCATCATCGGCATCATGATCAGCAGCAGCATGATCATCACAATCACCACCATCATCAGCAGCATCGGCAGCATCATCAGCAACATCATCATCATCATCAGCATCGTCATCATCATCACCATCATCGACATCATTATCAGTAGCAGCAGGATCATCATCAGCATCACCATCATCACCATCATCAGCATCATCAGCATCAGTATCAGCACCATCATAGGCATCATGATCAGCAGCGGCATCATCGGCATGATCATCACAATCACCATCAGCATCATCATCATCAGCATCACCGGCCAGAAGACATAGACAGGGCGTTTCAAGAAGCGTCTCGCCTACCAGGGATCGAAGGCTAGGCGCCTCACACACGGCGGAAGCTGGCGGAAGGGCTGCGGAAGGCGAAGGGAGTGAAACGAGCGCGGCGCCGCCGCCAGAAGGTCGGCGGAGGCTGGCAGAAGTAAAAGATGCCCCCCCGAGAGATGTCAGCATGTTCGGGATCAGGACTGAAAGCGGGCCAGAGATCGAATGATCGAGAGATCGCTGACGTTACGATGTTCCTCCCACGCTCGAGCTGCCTTGATGCTGCAGCCTGCACCTGCAGGAGGGCGAGCTGCTTGGGGCACCTCGACGCGCGCATTGCCACTGACACGGAGCCTCACCGACGGAGGTGCCCGAGTTTTGTGCCGCCAGGGAGGTTGCGGCGTCGGTGCCCACGCAGCCAAAAGAACATGCATTCACCGCCCGAGGCCCGCACGGACTTCTTGGGTCGGCGCTGAGGCCCCCATCCCCGCCCTCCACAGGCGGCGCCTGCAGCGCCGCCGCCAGCACGCTCCTCGCGGGCGTCTAAGAGGGCCTGAGGTTTGGGGGGTGAGAGGAGAACATGGCCAGGGCCATGATCTATCCCAGCTTGAATGGCCCCCTCTTCTCCTCGGCTACAAGTAAGAGTGCCGCCTCGCTGGACTGAAGTCTGTTGCGGTCCCGCCAGGATCCCCCGACCGTGGAGTGCGATCCGATTGCAGCGGCGTCTGCTCTCCTGGTTTGGGCCCCCCACCGCGCCCCCCGGAAGCTGCGCACCCAAGGCCACTCCTGGCGCGTCGCCGATCTCATGGCCCCCTCCTGAGCCTGCCAGACCTGTGGACCTGCCTGGACTGCCGAAAGCCTCGACTGGACTTTGGATGCCGAGGTCCTGGTGCGACAGTGGGGGCCCATGCCAAGAAACGCCCTGCTTGCCTCCAAGGTGACATGGGTTTCTTGGGTTTCGATGGTTTCGCTATGAAAGGCGTGACGCTCCCACACCAGAAATCAAGGGACGCCCTGGGGTCTCAGGGTTGGGTTTCTTCTGGAAGGTTTCTTGTGGACTGGCCTCCACTGTATTTTCTGGCCCTCCTGGAGGGTCAGGACTCTTCTTCTCTCAGCACCTCCGCTGGCCCGCCTCCTCGTGCGCGCACGTGTCTCTCGGGACCCGGTCTGCCTCCTCCTCCTCCTCACACCACTATCCCCTCCTCCTCCTCCTCCTCCTCCTCCTCCTCCTCCTCCTCCTCCTCTCCTCCTCCTCCCCCCCCCCTCCCTCCTCCTCCTCCTCCTCCTCCTCCTCCTCCTCCTCCTCCTTCCTCCTCCTCCTCCTCCTCCTCCTCCTCCTCCTCCTCCTCCTCCTCCTCCTCCTCCCTCCTCCCCTCCTCCTCCCCTCCTCCTCCCTTCCTCCCTCTCCTCTCCTCTCTCCTCCTCCTCCTCCTCCTCCTCCTCCTCCTCCTCCTCCTCCTCCTCTCCCCCTCCTCCTCCTCCTCCTCCTCCTCCTCCCCCTCCTCCTCCTCCTCCTCCTCCTCCCCTCCTCCTCCTCCTCCTCCTCCTCCTCCTCCTCCTCCTCACCTCCTCCTCCTCTCCTCCTCCTCCTCCTCCTCCTCCTCCTCCTCTCCTCCTCCTCCTCCCCTCCTCCTCCTCCCCCCTCCTCCTCCTCCTCCTCCTCCTCCTCTGCCGCACC